AGGATACACACAATTTGAACAGACCAATATCAATAGATGAAATAGAAGAAGCAATCAAAAGACTACCAACCAAGAAAAGCCCAGGACCAGATGGGTATACAGCGGAGTTTTACAAAACCTTTAAAGAAGAATTAATACCAATACTTTTCAAGTTATTTCAGGAAATAGAAAAAGAGGGAGCTCTTCCAAATTCATTCTATGAGGCCAACGTCACCCTGATTCCGAAACCAGACAAAGACACCTCAAAGAAAGAAAACTACAGACCAATATCTCTAATGAACGTAGATGCAAAAATCCTCAATAAAATTCTGGTGAATCGGATACAAAAACACATCATAAAATTGTGCACCATGATCAAGTAGGATTCATCCCTGGGATGCAAGGATGGTTCAATATATGGAAATCAATAAATGTTATTCACCACATCAATAGACTTAAAGATAAGAACCATATGATCATCTCGATAGACACAGAAAAAGCATTCGACAAAGTACAGCATCCCTTTATGTTCAAAACATTAGAAAAACTAGGGATAACAGGAACTTACCTCAACATTGTAAAAGCTATCTATGCTAAGCCTCAGGCTAGCATCATTCTGAATGGAGAAAAATTGAAGGCATTCCCTCTAAAATCTGGAACAAGACAGGGATGTCCTCTATCACCACTTCTATTCAATATAGTTCTAGAAACACTGGCCAGAGCAATTAGACAGATGAAAGAAATTAAAGGCACAAAAATAGGAAAAGAAGAACTTAAATTATCACTATTTGTGGATGACATCATTCTATACCTAGAAGACCCAAAAGGCTCTACAAAAAAACTACTAGAACTAATAAATGAATTCAGCAAAGTGGCAGGATATAAAATCAACACACATAAATCAAAGGCATTTCTGTATATCAGCGACAAAACTTCTGAAACAGAAATGAGGAAAAACATTCCATTCACAATATCCTCAAAAAAAAATAAAATACTTGGGAATCAACCTACCAAAAGAGGTGAAAGATTTATACAATTAAAACTACAGAACCCTAAAGAGAGAAGTAGAAGAAGATCTTAGAAGATGGAAAAATATACCCTGTTCATGGATAGGCAGAACTAACATCATCAAAATGGCGATATTACCAAAAGTTCTCTATAGGTTTAATGCAATGCCAATCAAAATCCCAACGGCATTTCTTGTAGAAATAGAGAAAGCAATCATGAAATTCATTTGGAAAAATAAAAGACCCAGAATAGCAAAAGCAATTCTAAGCAGGAAGTGTGAATCAGGCGGTATAGCGAAACCGGATTTCAAACTATACTACAGAGCAATAGTAACAAAAACAGCATGGTACAGGTACCAAAACAGGCGGGTGGACCAATGGTACAGAATAGAGGACACAGAGACTAATCCACAAGTTACAACTATCTTATATTTGATAAAGGGGCTAAAAGCATGCAATGGAGGAAGGATAGCATCTTCAACAAATGGTGTTGGGAAAACTGGAAATCCATATGCAACAAAATGAAACTGAATCCCCTCCTCTCGCCATGCACAAAAGTTAACTCAAAATGGATCAAGGAGCTTGATATCAAATCAGAGACACGCCGTCTGATAGAAGAAAAAGTTGGCTACGATCTACATATGGTGGGGTCAGGCTCCAAATTCCTCAATAGGACACCCATAGCACAAGAGTTAATAACAAGAATCAACAAATGGGACTTACTTAAACTAAAAAGTTTTTTCTCAGCAAAAGAAACAATAAGAGAGGTAAATAGGGAGCCTACATCATGGGAACAAATTTTTACTCCTCACACTTCAGATAGAGCTCTAATACCCAGAGTATACAAAGAACTCAAAAAATTAGACAATAAGTTAACAAATAACCCAATCAACAAATGGGCTAAGGACCTGAACAGACACTTCTCAGAGGAGGACATACAATCAATCAACAAGTACATGAAAAAATGCTCACCATCTCTAGCAGTCAGAGAAATGCAAATCAAAACCACCCTAAGATACCATCTCACTCCAGTAAGATTGGCAGCCATTCTGAAGTCAAACAACAACAAGTGCTGACGAGGATATGGGAAAAGGGTACACTTGTACATTGCTGGTGGGACTGCAAATTGGTGCAGCCAATTTGGAAAGCAGTATGGAGATTCCTGGGAAAGCTGGGAATAGAACCACCATTTGACCCAGCTATTGCCCTTCTCGGACTATTCCCTGAAGACCTTAAAAGAGCATAGTACAGGGATACTGCCACATTGATGTTCATAGCAGCACAATTCACAATAGCTAGACTGTGGAACCAACCCAGATGCCCTTCAATAGATGAATGGATAAAAAAAATGTGGCATTTATACACCATGGAGTATTAAGCAGCACTAAAAAATGACAAAATCATGGAATTTGCAGGGAAATGTATGGCACTAGAGCAGGTTATGCTAAGTGAAGCTAGCCAATCCCTAAAAAACAAATGCCAAATATCTTCTTTGATATAATGAAAGCAACTAAGAACAGAGCAGGGAGGAAGAGCAGGAGGAAAAGATTAACATTAAACAGAGACATGAGGTGGGAGGGAAAGGGAGAGAAAAGGGATATTGCACGGAAATGGAAGGAGACCCTCACTGTTATACAAAATTACATATAAGAGTTTGTGAGGGGAATGGGAAAATAAACAAGGAGAGAAATGAATTACAGTAGATGGGGTAGAGAGAAGATGGGAGGGGAGGGGTGGGGGGATAGTTGAGGATAGGAAAGGTAGCAGAATACAACAGTCACTAATATGGCATTATGTAAAAAGGTGGATGTGTAACTGATGTGATTCTGCAATCTGTATTTGGGGTAAAAATGGGAGTTCATAACCCACTTGAATCTAATGTATGAAATATGATATGTCAAGAGCTTTGTAATGTTTTGAACAACCAATAAAAAAAAAAGAAATAACAAGTTCAATTCCCTTTGACTCCAACCTCCCTTCCACACACTCTTGCCTGTCCTGTTCAATCTCCAAGCTCTCTTTGGGAGCCATGTCTTGAATAGGTGTGAACAGATTTCTATACTGACTATGGCAGGGACCTTGTGTTGTGGTCCCTCTAACATTGCCACACTATCACCAAACACTAATGGCCTCCAACAGGAAACAAGCAGAGGAAACAAACAGTTCCACCTCTCTCTCTGTACCTCAGAGGGCTATTTGGGAATAAAATTAAATAATTTCAAAAGCTTCTTGAAATAAAACTTTTTCATAAAAGTCAGATATTAGTGTGATATCATTTATGTAGCATATAAGCCATATTGAGCAACCTAACAATCATAAAAGATTTTTATAATCTTAATGATTTTTTAAAAAAATTAGATTCTGAAGAATTCAAATAGATGAAACTAGGAAGCAGAAATTTGGGACTGTGACTAGGTTTAGTTTATCATTCATTCATTTGACTACATTTATTGTCCAAAATTTATTTATTTTTGAATAACCACTATACATATGATGGTTAAAGGAAAAAAAAACAGGTATGATAGGTTTATAAGTACCTATATTACATTTATAAAAGTGGGAGAGAATAAAAAATAAAGCAAATTGATGAATAATTACACCTTGTAGTGAGTTCAGTGAAGGGTACACTGAGGAGAAAGGGCTACTATGATAGCCTTATCAGAGATGGCCTATCAGAAATGAAGACAAGCTAGGCCCAGAAGAAAAGGGTGACTGCAAAGCCTCACTCCATGAGGAAGTTTGGCATGTCTGAGGACCCATAGGACAACTTTGCTTTAGACCCTGTGGAAGGAGAGAGTCCTGAAATAGGTTGGTTAAATATTAACAGGCCTGCTAAAAATGATTTCAATGTAAATGCAAGGAAAGCTTTGAAGGGTTTTAAGCAGGGGTGTGAATAGATCAGCTCTGTTACTTAAAGGCAAGAAAGATCAATTGAGCAGCCATTATAAGGGGTCATGTATAAAGGCTGGTTGTTTTGACTATGGTGGTGGCCGTAGAGGAGAGAAGTGGAACTTCGAGATGTATTTAGGAGGTAGAATGACATGTATTTGGTGGCAGATTGGAAATTCGGGGTGTGGGAGTAATCAATGAGACCAGAATGTGCCACCAAAAATGAAGGATTTTCGAGGTGTAAACAATTAAGAAGAAGCCCAGGCAGGAAAGTGCTGTCTTCCCTTTATTTGGTTTAAGCAGGACATAGATTTACAAAGACAAAAGGTATCCTGTCTTGGTGTTCTACCAGAGGGAACATAGGTCACCATTGAAAACAACTTTAGATTTGGCCTGGATATGGGAGCAGAGGAATCTACATTAATAAGCTTTACTAACTGGCCTTTATCTGCCATTGATTTGTTGCCATGTTGCCACCAAAGAACTCAAGGTCTTTTCCCTTTTTCTTGTCATTTTTCTCTTAAGAATGTACAGTTTGTTGTTGAAGATGCCATAGAAACGAGAATTCAAAGATACTTCTTTGAGAGTTACTCATTCCCAGATTCTCCCTTGTATACATGTTAATGGATTTCTATTTGTTTTTCTCTTACCAATCTCTCTTACTACAAGAGTTTATTCCAACTAAGAACTTTTAAAAATCAATTTATTTATTTGTTCTAATACATGACAGCAAAATGCATTTTGATTCATAGTACACAAATGGAGCACAGTTTTTCATTTCTCTTTACACAAAGTAGAGTCACACCATTCATGTCTTCATACATGTACTTAGGGTAATGATGTCCATGTCACCCCACCTTCTTTCCTACTCCCACAGCTCGTCTCTTTCCCTCCCTCCCCTTCGCCCTATCCAAAGTTAAAAATATGGAACACTTCTCGAATTTGCATGTCATCCTTGCACAGGAGCCATGTTAATATTCTCCGTATTGTTCCAAGCACACAACTAATAACTTTTAATGATTGAATAATTTTTTTTCTTCCCCTAAAATCCCTTGTGTGTGGCTTGAATAAGTAGACAGGTAGTGACTTTGTGCCTGGCCCTGTTTGAGGTCCAAGTTGACTTACCAGAGTCCTGGTCACCATCCTCTGCCTTGGGCTGTACAATTGGATGTACTACTTTAAGTTCACCAGCTGGTACTGATGATGGATTGAAGTGAATTCTAACCATATCCTTCCCGGTGTGTTTGTTGGCTATCCAAATTGTCTTTTTTTTCAATGTTGAATAGAAGATACGGTCAGCAAAAAGAGATATTGCAAACAAATTGTGCCTAAAAAACAACCGGGGGGTGGGGGGGAGGTGTAATCATAAAAAATGGCAGAATAGTGGTTTGGATTATTAAAATTTCACCTCATTTCCTTTTTTTGTCAGAATTTTAATCGCCTGCAGTTTCTTATTTCTTATTTAGATTTAGAAAAGTATATTGCATTTAAATTTTTTTATTTAGTCATCATAATCTGAACTAATAGGAAATAATTTCTTTCTCCAGATCTGGATCTGTGATGAAAATGGGGAAGGAAACAAGAACAGGATACGAGTGGATTTCGGTTTAGTCATCTTTCTGTTCGGCTAATTTCTGCCTCTTTCAGTTACTGGAGAGTCTTTCTGGCACCATAGCAAGTCAAATAAAAGATGATGCTTCACAAAATGTATGATATAATAATTCCAAAAAGAGTAACTACGAGCAACATGTGGGAACCTATTATATGCCAGATACTCTGTTATTTTTTAATCTGTATTTATTTGTTTAATTTTCACAATGTTCCCATATCACAGAAAACTGCAGATAAGAAAAGTTATGTAACTTACCCACCCCAAGTCATTCATCTAATAATTGATAAATCTGTTTCAGACTCCAAAAATTCACGTGCTAAAACTACCACATCTATTTAGCTGACAAATGATAAATTATTTTTTTTCACACAAACTTCAGCTAACAATAGTTTTATTTTAAACCATAAGAAAAACCTACCGGGTTGGAGGTTTGATCAGATGGACAGACCTTCCATCATAATCACAGGAATAAATATGAGAATTGCTTCCTTCTCTATTGTCCTGAATCCAAAAGAGGCGTTTATCAAGCACATCCAGTGACATAGCCGTTATTCTCTCTGGTGTCTCTAATAGAGTCTTCACTTTCACCCCACTGAGATCTGCTCTGTGAAGACTGCTGGCCACTTCTGAAGACCAAAATATAAACCTGAGGGCAAACACATTACATAGACCCATAATTGAATGAATAGTCACTAAAATGGCAGATTCTTTCAGTGTTTCAGCAGCCCCTCATTCCTACACAGGACAATTTTGATTATTTTGAATGAAAATTCAATTCAATAAGTACATGTTAACTATTAAGGAAATTATATGTGATTGATTCAAGTTAGAAGAGTTATGCTTCTCTAGCAGAAAATCATGGTAGTCAACAGTGTTTATAAAAGGAGCCTGCCAAGTTCAAATGCAGGCAGGCCACTGTCCTATTGAAAATGGTGTTAGTGTACTATTAAAGAGGACCTTGGTCTCATGAAGGCCCCTTTGACTTCAAGATGTTATGATTCTAGAAATTTTTATTAGATTTGAAATGTATTTCAGTGTCTGAAAACAGCAAAATTTACCTTTCTACTGGATCAACTGCTATATTTGCAGGATATTTTAAGGTGCTTAAAAGAACATGGGAATTGTTTCCTTTCAAATCTGTTACTGTAATGATTCCTTCCTGTCGATTTGACCAAATAATTTCTTCATTTATCCAATTTATTGCCATTCCAGAAACATTTTTCTCTATATTGCACACTTTCTGTAAAATCAAATTTCAAAACTGTTATCAATATTTCCCCATTCACAGAAAAATTGATTTTATTGCTATGTATAAAAGTCTACTCTTTTAAGTACCTTTCATTCCCCTAAGTTATTTAAATAATAAAATAGTCACATATAAGGTGACTATTTTATTATTATAATAAAGGTGGCTTTGTTTTGATGTAGCAATATTACCCACCTCCATGTGGATATCTCTAGGCAAAGTATTTATATCATAGCTTTGAAACTGAGAATTATCCTATGCACTATTGAAATTAGCAATCAACCATAATGTAATAATTTCAACTATTTTAACAGTAGGATTTTGATGCAGAGTTTATTCAGTTTTACTTGTTAATGAAATGTTCGGATCCTTACCTAAACTTAATTCTAAGCTTTTCCAAACTCTGGCAAGTTTCCCTTGGAGTTTGAGCATAGAACTATGAAAAGGAAGAAGTTCTTGTTAAGGCTTCCATTTTCTTCTGGCCCCTCCTCCTCCATTGGTCCCTTCCTTTTTACAGATCTGCATGTCTTACACCTTGACCCATTAACAGTACTTCTTCTTATATGCCTTGAGCTGTCCCTGCTCTTACATGATCCAAACAACCAAACTGAAACCTCTCTTATCTCCTGATTCCAGACTTAGGCAGGTCAACAACAGGGCAACTGGTATTCTTGGCGCTGGAGGTGCAAGGTGGTTAGAAGCCCTGATCTGTACCATTGCAGGTTCTCATGGTATAATACCCCCCAGTCGCTCAGTTCCAGCTACCTATCATGTGATGTTATTAAACAGAGTTGGGCAGAGGTGGTCTGGCCTCAGAGTCTGAGCTATTCTCCTCTCAAAGCAATCCAACCAACCCATTTTAACAATTACAAATGTATTCATATACTAGGTGTTCCAGGTAAGTTGTTTGCATATTGACAGTTGTCCTTTGTAAAACAATGTTTTAACCCCAAAAAGGGACTACAGAAGTAGAATTTTAGGGATCAAGTCAATCCTTTTCTGATGACTTGACATAAATTCACAACTGTTTACACCTTCTCTTGTTCTGTGACAGAAAGCCCTCCAGATTCTTAGACTCAAGATTTTGAAACTATTCTACCAGATTGGTTGGAGAATAATGAGTAGCCATAATTGTTAAAAGTGAGATTAGCAAGTATTAGAGATGTGATAAAAACAGATTAATGCCTAATTGAAGCTTTTAGGAATAATTGGAGAGAGAAAGGTTTGGTTAAAAAAGAAAAAGACAGAGAGTACTTTGTACTGGGAATAAATGCTTAAAGTCTTTGTAATCATGTGCCTTTTGCACTCCATCTGCAAAGTATTGTGAGAACTCTCCTCCTGGGACTCATTTACCAGTTTAAAAGAAAGATTAAGGATCTTTTGTATGTACTTCAGGTAAAATACTTTAATCTATTATTTAATTCACTTGCTTTTTCTAGAATGCACACAGCTTGAAAATAGAGAAGAAGAAAAATTGTCCTTCTAAATTTCAGGTGATTTTCCCCTCCGAAATGACAGAGATTTTGTACAGATACAATAGGGTTGATCAACCTCAGCACTATGGACATTTAGGGCTGGATAAGTCTTATTTATTATAGGGACTCCCCTAAGTTCAATAGCATCCCTGGCTTTGCCCACCAGATGCCAGTATCCCTTCCCCTTTCTCTCTCACCCAGAGTGCCATCCCCCAAAATGTTTCCAGACATTGCCAAATATCCCCTGAGAGGCAGAATCCTCCACCCAGCTGAGCACTAGTGAAGTAGAAAATAATCATGTAAATAATCAATTCTAATTATAACTGACCTATAAAGTTAGATATTTTCAAAATTAAATTCATGTCCTCGCATTCTCCTTAGGGAGCTTCTGTGAGTTTATTCATATATAGTACCACAGATGCAGATTAAGTGCCTACATTTGACAGACACACATTTGAACCATAATGTACTTTTGTTTATACATGAAGAATTTAGCATATCATATTTGCCTGTATCTCAATCCCTTTGAATAAATAGCATGGGCAATGATACTTGACCTTTTGTTGTTGTTGTTGTTCTAGGGATTGAACTCAGGGACATTCAACAACTGAGCCACATCCCCAGCCCTATTTCGTATTTTATTTAGAGACAGGGTCTCATTAAGTTGCTTAGTACCTCCCCATTGCTGAGGCTGGTTTTGAACTCATGACCCTCCTGTCTCAGCCTCCAAGCTGCTGGGATTACAGGCGTGCATCACCACACTTGGTAGTACTTTACCTCTTGTCTTGACCCATTCAGGAAAACTCTTTGCAAAAGTTGTCTTTCTAAATCCACCCAATAGATTCTTTCCTTCTTGTAATGAAAATCCATGATCACCGAAATACCAGCATCTACCACCAGTCGCTCATGGTTTGTGCCTTCTGGGTCAATTCTAAAGATACTGTTTCCATGGGAGAAAATTAAGTAGGGTGTAGGACCTGAGTGGGAAGAAAGAAACCAAACTGTACATTTTCAATGGTATTTAATCTGACCTAGGCAAATTACTTCCCCATGACAACCAACACAAGCAGAATTATTATTTAATTCCTGATTTTATATTTTAAATAAATAAAAACTATTACATGGAGAATAATGAGTCCCTGTAGATGTTCACAATTAATTTTGTATGTCATCTTCCTTATAAATAAATTATAAAAATGAGCATTGCCAAATTATGAAATATGAACTATTTAAAGAAAAAGGTATTTCTTGTTCTTATTTGTAAAATGCCCTTTTATGTTAAAAAGGGAACCACATACTGTATATCATGTTGTGGAAAGGATCTATGTGAATGTTGATTTTAATTGTGTCCTTTGGAAGTAAAATTTCAAATATTTTGGAAATAGGCCCCTTTCCTGTGGCCTAATCTGAGAACTTTGAGTCATTAAAAAAAGAAAAAAGAAAGTTTTAAATGGGAGCAGGAAAAATTGAAAAGTCATCATTTTTCAAGTTCAGAAATATTTTCACTGATTGGCATTGTCATATAAAATACAGGATGCTCAGTTGAATTATAATTGCTTATATAGGCTGAGGATCCCTAATCTGAAATCTACAATCCAAAATGCTCCAAAATACAAAACTTTTTAAGTGCCCACATGATACCAAGTGGAAATTTCATGCCTGACCTCATGTGATGGATAGAGGCCAAAAAGCAGGCACACTAAAAATATTGTATAAAATTATCTTTAGGCTATGTATATGAAGCACATATGAAACATAGAGGAATTTTGTGTTTAGACTTGGAACCCAGCCCAAAGAGTTCTCATTATGTGTATAAAAATATTCAGGAATCCAAAAAATATGAAATATGAAACACTTCTATGCATTTCAGATAATAGACACTCAACTAGAACATTGTGTGGGACTTGCTCACAATAAAAAATTATTTTCTATTTATCTGAAATTCTAATTTAGCTCAGCATCTTGTACTTTTATTTGCTAAATCTGGGTGGTAGACCTTGGATTTCTCGGTTCCTACAGGGTTTTGCTTTGTACCTATCCCCATATCTGGCGTCCTGTTCTGGGTAATGTCCACCTACCTGCTCTGATTCCCTTGTTCTCAACAGCTTCTTGGACACTGGTCCCTTCTTAGAGACTTTGGCACTCATTACTGATTGACTTCAAATAAAGCTTGTCATTGATGCTCCAAGATTGACTCCAGGGGATGGCTTCAACCCCTGTAGCCAAGCTAGATTCCTTGGTTTCTCCTGACCAAAGGGTATGTGATGATAATTTTATACAATATTTTTAGATACAATGGAACCACTGGGTGAGTGAGGGGTTAGAGGACAATACTAACATATTCTTGCTTCCCTGCTGGGCTTTCTCCATTCTATTTGAACATTAAACCTTAATACCTTAATGAGTCTTTTTTAAAAAGTATTTATTGTTCTAAGGATTAAAAAAATGAGGGATTAACAACCTTTTACACAAGGATCATGTTCTAAAATCAGAAAGCATTAACTCCACTTTAGAGGATATATCAGAATAGAGATATGAGAAGCAGGGAGAACTTTAAGATCATAAGAATGTGAAACAGGTGCCACTATATGTGTCTGAGAGAATGAGCTTGAATCCCTTTTCCCATTTCTTTTCATCGACACCAACCCCCTCCACAATGGGTAGGGTTCATGCTACTGCAGTTGTGGGAGCACAGAGTTATCTTAGAAGAAATGGAAAGGGTATGTGATGGGGAGCCCGAGGCCTGGCTTCCATTCCTGGCTAACAAGCTTCTCTGAATATCTCACAGGATCTCCCCTGCCTGTATTATTGGAGAAAAAATGAGATTATTGATGTGAAAACATTTGATTAATCATGGAGGACCACATATGTGTAATCTGCTTTGGTTATTTCCATAGCCAAGGACTCAAGACATAGTTTTGTTCCATTGTATTAATTTGAACCCAGGGACTAGAATGTTGGTATAACTCACTTCCAAGTCAGTAATAAATCCTGAAGTAAAGAAAGACAATAGGAACAGGCAGTCTGAATACACAGCTACTAAAGTGTGGGCCACAGATGACTGCAGGCTTATAGGATCTATTACCAAGCGTTCTCTTTGATATGTGCATCATGCCTTCTCGGTAAACTGAATTAATGTGTCCAACACATATTATTAATTTTCTAATGCATTGATACATTGGTGAGATTGATAAAACATTGATTTAAAAGTTTTATTACATGGGTAGTTTCCATGAAAAAAGTACTCTGACCATTTTAGTATTCTCTGTCCCAGAACATACTACAATCTTTTGTACATAATAAGTACCCAAAAATCTTTGAATAAAGCCACAAATTAATTAAGAAATAATTGTGTCATGTTTATTTGTCTGAGTTTTTACCAACAAGAACAAAGCAAAAGAGACTGGCAGGTAGATCTATCAAATTTATGAAAGCAGAATCTATCCTGGGGTGCATATTTAGAAACAAAGGCAATAATAACAACAACAAATTTTAACATCGTGGTCTCATTTATCCACCATACATCACCATGGACTATACAGGCCAGATATTAAAGTCAAATAAATCAAATAGAAATCTGAATACTTAAATCTGAAGAATCCTTAGATCCATACACAAATCATAGCATTAAGACACAAATCATATCATTAATTCTGTAATTTTTCAAAACTCAAATAGAGAATAATTCTGAAAATACTAAATCTAGGGCTGGGGTTGTGGCTCAGTGTAGAACACTTGCCTAGCATGCGTGAGGCACTGGGTTCAATCCCTAGCACCAAATAAAAATAAACAAATAAATAATAGTATTGTGTCCATCTACAACTTAAAAAATGTTTTTAAAAATACTAAATCTAAGTATGAGTAACCAATGTATTTTATCCTCAGATTTTGCTTATCCAGGGATAAATCAGAGCACCCAAAATTTGGCATCTTAGAACTGGAAGCCTCAAGACATTACCTATTTCAATATTTCCCAAAATTGTTCAAAAAAGTCACACTGTATAAGTATGTGAATGTGAAAGTGTGTGTGTGTGTGAGTGTGTGTGTGAATGTGTGTGCATGGGTGTGATATAGATTTCTTCCTTTAAGATTCTAATTCTTTCAGCAGGGCTGAGCTCAGGACTGGGAACCTTTTTTGAACAGACTCTGTAGGTGATTCTCATATCTTAGTGAATTTGGAAAACATGAACCTAGTTAAGAGGAGGAGATGTAATGATGCTTCCCAAAGCCCTGCCCCTAGTGGGTGATGGAGCTGGAACTGGAAACTGGCACTGCCCTTCCAACCTGGCACCCTCCCTCCCTCTTTCCCACCTGGGTCCAGGTTGCCATATGTCAAGTCTCTCACCTTCATTTCACTTGTGCAGCTGATTCTAATTCCACTTCCCTCAAAACATTGTCCAGCTTCCTTCTACTGTCAGCATCATTTCTTGTAAACCAGGGCCTGGGCTGAATATTTGTGATATGAAATATGATTTAAAATAAAATTAAATACTTTAAGAATTAGGGGCAGTGGAATGTCATTATTCTGTACAGCCACTGGTAATGCTAAATAAATCAGTGTTTTTTTCAACCCTGTCAAGGACTCTATCAACACCAGTGTGCGGTGCGATATGTGGATTTGAATGTCAGCAGAGTGTGTGTGTTTGAACAGCAAAAGCTTTCCCACGACAAAACCTTCGGCGTTTATTTTGGGTGCATTTCAGTAAGAAGGAAATGCATGGAAAGTCAAACATCATTTCTAAGGAACACAAACCCAAAGACAGCAAACAGGTCAAAGCAAATCAATTGGAACCTCTGGCTTCTCTACCTGGGCATTAGTAGGGGATCTTCATGAATAAGAAATAAAGGAATCCAGAATGTTTGAAGCATATTGAAGACTTTCATAAGTGACTACAAAAACTGAGGCCTCCTTGGCACAGAAGGCCAGTAACAAAAATCAGGCTTTGATTGAAATAAGCAGGAGAAACAGAATATTTTAGAACAAGAAACTCTCTACCTTCCATGACAGAGGTTGGAGTCTGGGGAACTAGCCCACACAGGTAAGTAAAAAGGTCCATTGACTGCCTTCTGCTGGCCTTGGGGGCAAAGGCTTATGGGAGCTATGACAGAAGCACATGACCAAGAAATCCAAGTCTTCTCTCAGGTCCCAAGCTGCCACCTGCCCTCACCACCACAAGCTTCTTCCCTGAATCTGGAAATAGACTGAAGGTTCATAGAACAAAGAAAGTGAAAAGGAAACATAGAAATTTCCAGATTCAATGACACCATGAGAGAAGAATGTAGCTTTAAACTGATGGACCTGCTGCAAGAAAGCCTGTCAGCTCCTCCCACAGCTGGCTCCCACCTCCCCATTAAGCCCCTGAGAGCAGCCATTTATCACCACTCCTCAGGGAGCCGACCTGAACGCTGTCTTAGGTTTTATGAAGTGCAGAAAGTTTTATTTCACAACCAAAGACCACCTCCTCTCTCTCTCTCTCTCTCTCTCTCTCTCTCTCTCTCTCTCTCTCTCTCTCTCTCTCTCTCTTTCTCTCTCTCTTCAATTATGTTCCTTAAAAGGGCACAAACGAGTTTACTTTCTTGGACAACCACAATTTTCCACTCAGTGTATTCATAAATGTCAAAATTCAAGGCAGGTGAGAATGAAGTCAAATGACTCAAGGAACACACCCAGCCAGGGTGGCCAGGAAATTTGAATGTAAGGCTAAATTCTATAAAGAACAATGGGGATTGATTTTGATGTTGCTTCCTGAAAAATGTGAATGGGGATTGCCACCCTAGACCTTGAACAGTGGTAGACATGTGTCCTCCAGAGCAAAAAGCAAACCCTGCCCTACTCACAGCTATGTTCCTTCGATCTACAGAGGCATGTACCCAAATTCTCAGCACAGGAATCAAACCTTGCAAGTTCTGCAAAATTGTGTTGTAGGGGACAGACAAGCAGGGCACTGAAGATAGCAGGAAACAGTTTTATTTGGCT